ATGATCATAGTTAAACATTTTGATGAGTTGAAGGATTAATGGTAATGAATTTTTAATTAAAAAACTATTACTCTAATTTAATTAAAATTAAATGATGATTGCTACCATTTATGTAATAGCGTTTCCGAAAATTAAAGCGTTAAAACGACAACCGGGAAGGGTTTCTCTCTTTAAATATTTTGTAGACTAAATAGGGTTTACGTTTCCGTCTCTCTGCCCTTTTGGAGCGCGCTGCTGCCAGACGCCTAAACTTCCTACGCCTATAGATATATATATAGAGAGAGAGAGAGAGAGAGAGAGAGAGAGAGAGAGAGAGAAACTGCCTCCCCGTCTCTATCTTCAAACACAAAATCCTAACCCTATCCACTGTTCCAAACGCCCCCGTCTCTCTTAGTGCGGCTGCACTCTCTTCCACTTATCTAGTCGGAAAAGAAAGATCGACGGCGGCGAGTTATGATGGCGGATCCGACGTTGATAAGCTTGAGACCTGGCGGCGCCGGCGGCCTCCGTGCTCCCAGATTCCTCACGGCTCGCTTCGATTCCAACTCTTCTGATGCTCAGGCTCTTCCGTCCCGTACCGGCCTCGCTCCCGCCTTCAAGGTCCCTCCTTACTCTAGCTCCTCTCTCACATAGAAAAATATACTTTTGTATAGATATTTGTATGTGTACATGAATGTGTATGTGGATCTGGTACTCTGGAGGTTTAATAAATCCGAAGACTTTTCTTTTTCTCTTGTTTCTGGTCGATTTTCGATGTCGAGTTTTGAATTGTATGCGTTTTTGTTTTGAATTCCATTATTGGTTGGAGAAATTGAAATTGAACTCATTGTAAAAATTGGATCTTTCAGTCACATTATTCTGTTAAATCCTCGGAGAGTATGCTCTTTTGTGATCCTAAACCAAAATTCAACTTTGAGATAATTGGAAAAGGAGTTTGTCGTCGAACTAGGGTAAATTTGATATTTTAAGATTTAAACGTCCTAATTCTTGGCAGGGCTCTCAAGAATGTGCACCAGCTGTAAATATGGACGAAGAGTTTTATGTCGGGTTTTTAGGTGGGCTTGCAATGAGTCTGCAATACCCATAAAGGACCGACATTACATGTTAAGCTTCTTAAATATAATTATGGCTGCTGTCTGTTGATTGTGATTTCTTACTCATACGTGTGGAATAATTTGACATGTCTTTCACTTTAGGTTGCATATGTTCTTTTATGATCGAATCCTCACTCTTCATTGATAACATATCTTCTTTGTGTGTGCTTTCTTATTTCTGTTTTGAGGTGTATAGCTCATTTACTGAGGATTACCCTTCATATGTTTCAACTCTTTTACCTGTCTTCTTGTTACAGACTGGTGACTTGCGGTTTGAAGGTCGTGAGCGAGTTCGATATAGTAGGGATCAGCTATTGCAGCTTAGGGAGGTACTGTTGTGTGATCACTTTTCTTTATAGCTACTATTGTTCTTTAACTACGTTATGGAGCACTATGAAGATAAGTAGAATGTTTCATAGTATCTATCCTGGAAGGTGGGGATGATAGTGTTTTTCTTGTATGACGATCTTACCTTTGGTATAGGCGGCCACTACTATCCCTGAAGAAATTTTGAAGGTTAAACGAGAAATAGATGCTGAGTTTGTTACAGAGGATCCTGCTTGGGGTCATGCAGATACTACCAATGTGAGTATAATTACTTTTCTCTTCTACCATGCAACTATGTTATTGTTCTGGACAGTAAACTAATTAATATGAGTTTTTGTGGTTACAACTGTTGAGTTCATGTTATTGGGTTCATTCAATTAAACTTTTTGTCCTATAATTCGAAGTCTGATACACTTATCCTTTTGCTCAAAACTTTTCCTTCAATTTTCTTTAGCTGCAACTTCAAACCCAAGGTCGATATTCCGAGCCAGATAACCGCGATTGGCGTGGTCGATCTGCACCTGCTTCCGAAGAGGATAAAAAGGAATTCAATAACCAGCAGGACCAAATAAATTCCCAGTTTGGAAGGACGCAAATTTCTGGTAACCAAGTGGTAATAAGTTGTTATCCAATTGTGTAATGGATATACATGGTCTCCCGTTTCTTAAGATTTTATGTTTTTGCATGCTATACTGCAGATCAGATTTGTTTACTCTTCCTGATTTCTTGTTCAATGCAATGAATACTAGCAAATAAGTTTAGGTTGCTAGTAATAGTAGGCACCAAAATATTGGCATGTATTTGGTACTGGCTTATTTAGATCTTGGAATAATTTTCGTTCCAGTAGTGTTATTTTTTGTTTTTTCTAACTTTCTGAAAACACCAGGTAGGCCCTGCTCCTGCCCTCATTAAGGCAGAAGTTCCATGGTCAGCTCGAAGAGGAACACTCTCTGAGAAGGATCGTGTCTTGAAGACAGTGAAAGGGTAATTAATTCTCTGATTCCTATCAGCTTGAAGATTTGCTTTTATGATCTGTTCTACATTTTAAAAGGATGCAATTTAATATAAGCTAGATTTTTATTTTTATTTTTTGTGCAACTGCTTGTTATGTGATAATCTTATGAAAAATGTTCTAATTTTTGTGCAGTATACTGAACAAATTGACCCCGGAGAAGTTTGACATTCTCAAGGGCCAACTGATTGATTCTGGAATTACCACTCCAGATATTTTAAAGGTTTGTAATAATGAAATGTATTTGGATACTTCTCACTCCATACTGAGTTATTACTTTCCTGCTGATGAGTTTGAGGGTTCAATTTGAATTGCAGGATGTTATCTTTCTGATATTTGATAAGGCTGTGCTGGAACCAACGTTTTGTCCTATGTATGCGCTTTTATGCTCAGATCTTAATGCAAAACTTCCTCCTTTCCCACCTGAGGAGGCTGGTGGGAAAGAAATCACATTTAAACGTGTTCTGTTGAATAATTGCCAAGAGGCTTTTGAAGGTGCTGACAACTTGAGGGCAGAAATTAGGCAGATGACTGCTCCTGAGCAAGAAATGGAATGCAGAGATAAAGAACGAATGCTTAAGTTGCGAACTTTAGGAAACATACGCCTTATTGGAGAACTATTAAAGCAAAAAATGGTGCCTGAGAAGATTGTCCACCATATTGTTCAGGTTCTTTCTAGTTTTCATTCACGTTGTTTGGGTTTTTTTTTTTTTTTTTGGTTTGTTTTGTATAGGAATTTGAGTGCTGTACTAACTCTGCACTTTTGTCTAACACAGGAGCTTCTGGGTGATGGCAAAACATGCCCTGCTGAGGAGAATGTTGAGGCAATATGCCAATTTTTCAACACCATAGGTAAGCAGCTGGATGAGAGCCAAAAGGCTCGGCAAATCAATGATAGCTATTTTAATAGGTTGAAGGAGTTGACTACAAACACCCAACTTGCACCACGGTTGAGGTTCATGGTCCGTGATGTTCTTGATTTGCGGTCTAACAGCTGGGTCCCTAGGCGTGAAGAGGTGAGTATACATACCGTTGTCATTTTGTCTTTTGTTGTGAGGAGGTAACCATAGAATGCATTGTGGTACATCATAGTGGGATTTGTGAATCTAACTTCTGTTTTTCCCTCTGTTTTGGAAGGTGAAAGCAAAGACCATTAGTGAAATCCATTCAGATGCAGAAAAGAATCTAGGGTTGCGTGCAGGTGCAACAGCAATGATGAGAAATGCTCGCAATGCTGCTTCCCAGGGGGATTTGAGCCCCGGAGGGTTTCCTCTTACCAGGCCTATGCCTGGAATGCCCGGGACCAGGAAAATGCCAGGAATGCCTGGTCTTGAAAATGACGATTGGGAGGTCTATCGATCCCGTTCAATGACCAAGCGTGATGGTTTGGGGTCCCAATCTGCCAGTCGTGCCCAGCCACCGTTGATTAGCAAAACACCTTCACTTAATTCAAAATTTTTACCTCAAGGCAGTGGTGGCATGATAGCTGGGAAAACAAGTGCCTTATTGGGAGCTGGTGGCCCTCCTTCCCGAGTAGAAGCTCTTACTCAAAATCCCAAACCTGTAGTTCCAGCTGCAACACCAATTCCAACGGAGAAACCTCTGGCTCCTGCAACTGTATCAAATTCTTCTAAGCCCTTGGCTCCTGCAGCTATATCAAATCTGGCTGTTTTACAAAGGAAAACTGTATCTCTGCTGGAGGAGTATTTCAGTGTTCGGATTCTTGATGAAGCACTTCAATGTGTGGAGGAGCTGAAAGCCCCAACTTACCATCCGGAGGTTGTTAAGGAAGCTATTAACCTTGCTCTGGAAAAGATCCCACCATGTGTAGAACCTGTTATAAAGCTCCTTGAGTTCTTGGTCAATAAAAATGTGTTGACATCTGTTGATATAGGAACCGGGTGCCTTCTTTACGGGTCAATGTTGGATGACATTGGCATTGATTTGCCAAAAGCGCCAACTAATTTTGGTGAGATTCTTGGGAAGTTGGCTCTGGCGAAGGTGTTGGACTTCAAGGTTGTGACGCAAATTCTGAAGAAGGTGGAAGATGACATGTTCCGGACAGCCATCTTTGGTTCTGCTAAGAAGGGCGTTGCATCCAGCCCTTCCGGGCAGGAATATTTGGTCACCCAGGAAACTGAGGTCCAGGCTTGTGAGAGCTTGCTGTCTTGATTCATGCTAGTTTTAGTCAACACAGGAAAGTTGTTTGGCATTTGGCTTCCGGTGGCGTAGAGCAGCAGTTTGCTTCTTCCTCCCACATATTTTATTCAGTTGTATATTTCTTTTTGGGGGTTTTAGTTCAAGTTTTGTTCGTTAAGCTGAGGAACATGATGTCCTATATTCCTCTTGAGCTCGGGTTAATTTTTTCCGGGAACAATCGAAACGGAATAGGATCTTGCACCATCCTTTTGTTAAATTAGTTTTGCAGCCTGTGTACCATTTACTCTTGATTTTGTACCTGGCCAGTATGTGGCCTTAAATTTTCTCCATGGATATTATTGTCAGCTTCTATAAATTTCTACCTTATGGCTTGACATCTTGGATAGCCTTCGTCTTCCTCGTTTTGAATTCTGGATACTGATATGGCACTTGTGACCTGCAACTTCACTTCCCCCTCGCCATCTTCTGGCAGTTCCGACCTGCGAAGGTGGAATCAAATCGAAAGGAATCAAGCGCTGAAGGGGAATGTGGAGCTTGCAATACATTCATACATTGATATGCAGAAACTTGGCTTCTCTGCTGATAACTACACATTTCCCCTTCTGCTTAAAGCAGCAGGCAATGCTTCGTGTTTGCGTATCGGGTTAACGCTCCACGGCCAGACAGTTAAAACCGGTTTCTGTGACCATCTTTTTGTCCAAACCGCTCTACTGAAAATGTACTCTTCTCTCGGACTCCTTGTTAATGCTCGTAAGGTGTTTGATAAAATGCCTGTAAGAGATGCGGTAGCATGGAACTCCATGTTAGATGTGTACGCTTCTTGTGGCCAGATGGATAATGCAATGGAAATTTTCGATACAATGCCTTCACGGGACCTTTCATCCTTCAACATCATGATCTCTGGGTTTGCAGGCGCACAAAGCGTAGCCTCTGCCAGAAGTATTTTTGATCGAATTCCTGAGAAAGACGTTGTCTCATGGAACTCGATGATATTGGCGTGTATGAACGCTGGAGAGACAGCTGAAGCGTGTACACTGTTCGAGGCAACGACAGAGAGAAATGTCATTACTTGGAACACAATGGTAATGGGTTACTTAAACAACCAACTCTACACCAAAGCTATTGATTTGTTCTACAGAATGAAGGCTGGAGACGTCAAACCTGATTATCTGACTCTGACCGGCGCTTTATCTGCCTGCTCTCACTTGGGATCACTCGAAACAGGCGTAAATATACACATCTACGCCGAAAATCTTGAGCAGGCCTCGAGCCCCCATGTAGTAACTGCGCTGATAGATATGTACGCCAAATGTGGAAGTATACACAACTCCTTAGCAGTGTTCTACAAGTCGAAAACTAAGGATATCTACTGCTGGAATGCCCTAATTTCCGGCCTTGCGCTTCATGGTTTCGGGTACGCTGCTCTGAAGCTGTTCAACCAAATGAGAGTGAATTGCATAAAGCCAGATGACATAACCTTCATTGGTGTTCTGAGTGCTTGTAGCCATGCAGGGTTGGTGAAAGAGGGATGTGAAATGTTTGACTGCATGAAAAGGGATTTTGGAATCACTCCAAAGGCGGAGCATTATGGATGCGTCGTTGATCTCTTAAGCAGAGCCGAGCACTTTGACTCGGCTTTTCAACTCATCGAGAGGATGCCGTTTGAGCCCGGGGAGTCGGTCTTAGGAGCTCTGCTTAGTGCTTGTGTGATTCACCAGGACCTTGAAGCTGGGGAGAAAGCAATGGAGCTTGTTGTGAAGAGGGATTGGTGCTTGAGCCATGGGGAATACATGATGTTTTCTAACTTGTATGCATCTTGTGGTCAGTGGGAAGAAGCAGAAAGATGGAGAAAATTGATGAATGATTCAGGCATGGTTAAGACTGCTGGCTGCAGTGAAATACAAGTTAATGGAAGGTTTCACAAGTTTTTGGCTGGGGAGGTTGGTGTTGAGTGAGATACACAAACCCTAGCTGCAATCAAAAGCTCAATAGTAAACATGGATCAGGTCAATTAGCCAGGACAATGTACCCGTCCTGGACCCGAAGCATCCAAATTTAGTACCCTTCATGTATATTGAAGTATAAAAAGTATCGTCTTATAAAAATAAAATAAAAACTAAGAATTTCAATATATTATAGAATAATTGTGTGTCATGACTTTTGGCATTTGGACTTACATCAATGCAAATACATCATCCTCCCCTAAACCATACCAAAAAGACCCAACCTAATTCACAAGTCACGATAATAAACGTCAATACTTTATATCAGTTGATGAGAAATTTCAAGTCACGTGATGAGAGAGATAGATAAAAGAGGGTGATACAACCGGTTATTAGACAAACTTTTATTCTCATCATATAACACAATTTCTAGACTTCAAGTCACATTATCAGAAAGATAAATATAACAAAAATACACCCGATTACAAGACAAATTCTTGTCAATCATCAACCAATTCGAGTAACTCTAACTCAGCTACCATTGGAGACCCTTTTAACCCATTTACAATTTGGGGTACCCATAAAGTACCTGCAGTGTACCTGGCCCCAAAATTGGAGGACCACAAGATCCAATATAGATTGTTCCAGCGGCAAACAATGTTGGTGGAACAAAGAGATCATGTACAACCTGGCCCGTAGTGGGTTTGCACTAAGACACCAATAGTAGGTGATGTTAGATTTGCCTTTGGTGGCCACCATTTTTGTTAGGAGACAAGTCAATTTGTTGCACCAATCAACCAAAAGATATTTTTCATTTAATTATTCCTGCTGATAACTATGAGGATTTTGTTTAATCGGATTCAGATTCTCTGTATTAGGGATCTTTTTTAATTTTCTGCGGACCATTAGTTATTTGTCCCTTTGTGGACACGAAGGGGTCAAAGAAGAGAAATACGAAAGGTGTGAAATGTACAAAATTTTTTTATACGTAATCTGAAATATCCGTGATATTATATTATGAATTCAAAATATTAAAATGACATTTTAAAACATAAGTGTACGTGTAAGTCTTTTTTTCAGTGTATATGTTGGGTTGCTAGGGCATTGGGATTTGATATTCTATCATATCATGTCCAAAGTAGATCTTATCGTCTATAAACCAAACATTGCTTAAAGAATGACTGTTATAAAATGATGGAAACTGTAGAACCACTTTAAAATTGCGTCTGAATTACACTTCGATAAACTTTGTTTAGCATGTCCCTAGGAGGACTAGGATTTTACTAGTTTCATTCTCTCCTTATTTTTCGGTGTGTAAAAAACACAGCTTAGTATATCAAGTGTCTTCATACAAGTGGTTGAAATTTTTTTCTCAAGCAAATTTGATATTTGGTATACCGAACCTTGTTCCTGGCTCACTTAAAAATCTCTCATTTTCTTGTCTCTCAAACAAGAACTTGTCCAAAAAATTGTTATGATAGTTTGGTTTTAATCCTTTAGAGATACAATATAATGACAAATGGGATTATTATTATTTAATGTTAAATATTGAATCGTATATCATAAGTTCAAATACCACAATCGACAGTTATTTAATAAAAAAAAACTTAAAGTTAGAAACATATTATCAATTACATACACTACAAATTTCTCTACGGTGCCACGCGATTTACGAATGTCTCTAAATGCAAAAAACTATATTCCTTTTTGGGAAAACAAAATTATGAGTCTATTTTTGGATTAATGGCTTTGTTTCGTGTATTAGTGGGTGGTTTGTTATCTATGTGCTGCCGCCACCTGTTTTAGAAATGCCTACAAATGGACCAAAGTACGAGTCCCTTTCTCGTTTCTTTGGTTGTTTTTGTCATATTTTTAAGTCGGTGATTAATACTCTAACAAGTTTTTGCTTTGCCTTTTTGCCGACATAGCCAAAAACTTGAAACACATTACAAAGTGTTTTTATCTGCATTTGGTTTTGCTCATGTATTTTTTTTTTTTTTTTTTTTTTTAGTTTATAGCTTTTGAGGGAATGAGATAAGTAAAAGGGGTAAAAATTAGAGTAATTTCACATGAGCTATAGGATTTCTTGCAATTTTTTACATGATAAAAATATTGAATCGATGTACCAAAATTAAAATTTTGTTGCACTATATCATCTATGTTTATCAATTTTTAATTTAAAAAATTATATATCTTTGGACGTGATTTTCTACGTAAACCTAAAAACTCTGTTATATAAGATTAAATTTCCAAGAAAATATACGTGTCCGACAGGCCGAGAGGAAAACGGGGGCTTGAAAGAAAATTGTTCGGCTCCTTAACGTAGAATTCAGAAAATTTTCAATAAAGAAACTACAAATGCCCGAAAAAAAAAAAAAAAGACAACTTGAAAATACTGTTTGACTTCGTTTGTGGCCTTTTATTACAGTGGTAGAAAAATATTAAGTCATTGCATACGATGAATTCAAACTCTGTCGATAATTAATCTAATGTTTGAACATAAAATAAAAACATTGTTTGACTTCGTACTTAAAATTACAACAAAAAATATACAAAATTTCCTACAAAGAAAATATAAATACCCAATAAAAAACGACTTGAATAAAACACTGTTAAACTTCTTACACGAAAACACAAACTAACTTCGTACACAAAAAAGAGTGTTTAAATCCTAAAACCGTCCCAAGTATTTTCTGCTTACAAAATCCATGAATAGTGTGACAAGAAGAATTACCCAAAGAGATGATTCCAGTCTTCCAAAAGTCCTCTTTTTCCTTCTCTCTCTTTCTCTCTCCTCCGATGATTTGCTCTTTGACTCTTCTCTCCTCATTCTCTCTTCTTCCTCTGTCATTCCTGAAGAATTATTGACACTCTCTCTCTACTCTCTCATCCCACCTCCTGCCGCTTCGTCTTCTCCCAGATTCCGGCAAAACTCCGCTCGCCGGCTGTTTTTTTCACCGGACTTCTCCACTGGGCATGTGAAGGACCCTCAAGCATCTCAATTGATACTGTTCTTTAAGTAAAATTTCTTTCTTGGTTTCATTTCATCAATATCTTGCAGTTTAGCATCTGGGGTTTTCTTACTTTTGATTAATCTTGTGATTGTTTCCTGTTTGATGTGAATTTCGTTTCATTGAAATCTGGGTTTTTATTTTTTTATTTTTATAATTTGCGCTTTAAGGCGGTCTTGATGTTTCCCAATTAAGAAGTTGATCTTTCTTTATTTCTAGTCCAATTCTTGCTTAAAGTTTGCGATTTTTATTCCTTAATCTGACTTTGTGTGTGTGTGTGTGCGCGCGCGCGCGCGCGCTTAAAGTTTGCGATTTTTATTCCTTAATCTGATTTTGTGTGTGTGTGTGTGTGTGTGTGTGTGTGTGTGTGTGTGTGTATTTGGATCATTTGATCGTTACTTAGTAAAGTGTGTGTGTGTGTGTGTGTGTTTGGATCATTTGATCGTTACTTAGTAAAGTTTAATTCAGGCGGTTTGGCTTTGATCGAATTGATCCAGTCTCGAATAGTGTGGCATGTGAGATGATAACAGACTAACAGAGGAAGAGGAATTGATACATCTGTATTTGATTTACAAAGTTTGGCAAATTCTTGCCATTTCTTTGGTTTCCTGGTGATTGATATCCATCTTCATAACCAAATAGCAATAAGTTCGAGTATCTAGAAGTTCTAGTGCATCCACATCCTGCATTTTTGTAACTTTCGTACAATGTGTTACTAAGATCCTTTGGTTTCTGGCTACTAAAGTAGCTATTTAGAATTCAATTGTGGATTAAAGTTTTTGATTGAGTTCTTATTTAATTTCAGATTGGAATGGGGGTATATCTCAGCACTCCTAAAACTGAAAAGTTCTCCGAAGATGGCGAGAATGGCTGTGTCAGATATGGTTTGTCTTCCATGCAAGGATGGCGTGCCACAATGGAGGATGCTGTGAGTACATAAAACTTTGCTCTTCCTATTCTAAGTTGTTTTGAAAACATAAATCCTTTTATGTCCATTCTCAGAAGTTTATACTGTTGCATCTTTCTCCGTCTTTATTTAGCATGCTATATAGTTAGGATTCAACTGAATATGATATTACTTGAGATGTTCAATTGACTGCATAAATCTAATTCCACTTGGCTGATTATCATTTGTCCTTTTAATTAGGATAGAAGTCAATTATCTTGTGGCATGTGATGGTGCAGCTATAGGGTTGGGTTTGGCTGCTTCTTCCTTGTCGCTTTGTAGTTTCCCTTGGTCTGTTTGTTTATGTGACTAGTCTTACTGGTGATTTCTGTTTTTCTCAGTAGAGAAATAATCCGGACTGTGGGAAGTAGTACTGTACAGAATCTGGTACTTGCTTCCCCAACCAACCCCTCTTGGCTTCTCAAAATCTACTTCTCTCTCTCTCTCTCTCTCTCTCTGTACTAAGTCTTTTTACTTTATCTGATAAGTTGTTGGAAAAACTAAAAACTCTCCTGCATTCATCCAAAGTTTTGCATCCTGTATAAGAGGAAGTTCAAGTGATTATTTACTTTGTTTTCAGACACTTGTGTCACATTATTAACATGCTGTTTGTTACTGTGATTTCTTTTGTTAGCATGCAGCATATCCTGATCTGGATGCATCCACCTCATTCTTTGGTGTTTATGATGGCCATGGAGGTAAGAATTTGAAATTTTGGGTATTGACATGTACACTGGAGCTAATATGGTTCTGTTACTATATCATTATGGAGGCCCTCTCTTTCCCTCTCTCTCAAATGAATGAGTTCTGTTTGACCTGCATTTGCACTTTGTGAAGTATATTAGCAATATTTGCAGTTATTGTATAATTTGTATTATATGTAACTTAAATCCAATAATCTTTTAGGCAAGGTAGTTGCTAAGTTCTGTGCAAAATATCTGCACCAACAAGTGCTCAAGAATGAAGCATATGCGGCTGGAGACATAGGAACTTCTGTTCAAAAAGCTTTTTTCAGGTTACTACCTTTGATGTACTTAAATTCAGTTGCCTTCTACTGTTTTCTAAGAGGAGGGGATGAATACAATTAGTCAAGCTCCATCGTTTTGGCTGTGCTTCCGTAAGATCACTTGAGCTTATCGTGCCATAATATTGGCCATATGGTTTAAGCCTATATTGTCCTGGATCCCTATGAGATCATAGATACTTGAGATGGTAATGCTTGTTCAAGTTGTAAATGCTTAAGAATTTAAAGAAAATAGACTTTTATTTCCTATCCTTAATGCAGAATGGATGAAATGATGCGCGGACAAAGGGGTTGGAGAGAGTTAGCTGTTTTGGGAGATAAGATAAACAAGTTTACTGGCATGATAGAAGGGTTGATTTGGTCTCCGAGGAGCAGTGATGGTAACGATCAAGCTGATGATTGGGCTTTCGAGGAGGTAGGTGCAAGAACCATAGAGTTGATTGACTTTATAGTCTCTTTGTGGAGCAGATTCTGATCTGCTTTATCTGGCTTTAGTGCATAATAAATTGATTACTTTGATTCTTGGGTAATTTAGAACTTAATCATTTGGTAATTCCATATGTTCCATTTTACATTCCGATGATCCATCTTAAACCAAACAGTCAAGAGATTATCTATAGTACTTGGGGACATGCCTGCACACTCTAAGAGATTTTAGATAGTACAAGTAATTTGTTTCATTTGATTTCATAATTTCAATCAATTCCATAAATTTAAACTCAACTATATTTTCAGGGCCCTCACTCTGATTTTACTGGTCCAACTTCTGGGTGCACAGCCTGTGTTGCAATTCTTCGAAACAAGCAACTTGTTGTGGCAAATGCTGGTGATTCGCGCTGTGTGATATCAAGGAAGGGTCAGGTAATTTATTATATTTCTGTCGTTTTGCATTCTTGTTATGTTGATTGCTTAAAATATAGAATCAAGACTTTTCTTTTCTATATCAAATGGTTAAAAGTGATGAGCGGTCTAAATTCCAAGGCTATTTATATGTGATCACATGTTTATAATTGAGAATATTTATATATTCTTGTTTCCTGCTGTAAATTGTCTATAGTTGTCTGACGTCACTTACTCTTTTCAGGCTTATAATCTGTCAAGGGACCACAAACCCGATCTTGAGCTTGAGAAGGAGAGGATTTTAAAAGCTGGTGGTTTTATCCATGCAGGACGAGTCAATGGAAGTTTGAATCTTGCAAGAGCTATAGGTAATTTTACTGCATGCATGTGAATTCTTAGTAAACTAGCTTTCCAAAATCTTCGTTAGATCTGTATCCAAAGGAATTAAATTATGTTTGAACTTATGGATGTCTGGAACTCCCTCGGAATACATTCACTGGTGCTTTGTTGTATTCTACACTGAGTGTTTGAGTGCATGCGCATATTTCTGGAGGAGGGAGCTAAGTGGAGAGCTTTTTGTAATTACCGTACTCATTAATTTTGCATATACTGCAGGTGACATGGAATTTAAGCAGAATAAATTTTTGCCAGCGGAAAAGCAAATTGTAACTGCCAGTCCGGACATAAACACTGTATGTATATACTTGCAACACTGAAAATTTTCACAAGATATTTTCTGGGGCTATCTACATTTTGAAGTTTCCCAAAATTGTTTTGGTACCTGTATTATTGTAAAGGCAAAAATATTCACCAACAGTTATTGGCTATAATTTCGTCTTCCATTTTAATTTATTTAATTATATTTTAATTAGGTTGAGCTTTGCGATGACGACGAATTTATTGTGCTAGCATGTGATGGCATCTGGTATGCGTCTTAAGCTTTTCTTTCTGTGTCTTCATTTTTTTTTTTTTTGTGCAATATATGCTTGCTGATATGATTCTGCTTTTGGTAACTCAGTTTAATGTTTTTAAGTTATGGTATGATTGTCGGAAATTGAGTTGATATTTTTGTTAATTTCTTACAGGGACTGTATGTCTAGCCAGCAAGTGGTAGATTTTGTACATGAACAACTACTCTCGGTGAGTGCATATTTCTCTTTCTCTTTGGTTTTTCTGGCTTGAAAACACGGACAACACTTTTGCAACGCAGTTGAAGTGGTTCGGTATTAAGTGATATGCTGCTTGATAAGGGGGTAAGAGTGCTCTCAACTATTACTTCTCTGAGTTCTCTCTGACACATACCATTGTAAATCATGCAGGAAAGCAAGCTATCTGTGGTGTGCGAGAGAGCCCTTGATAGGTGCTTGGCGCCATCGACTGCTGATGGTGAGGGATGCGATAACATGACCATGATCGTGGTGCAGTTCAAGAAGCCTGAACAGTCGACTGAATCCGAGGGTGGGCAATCCTCACCAACTGAAGTAGCAGCCGGAAGTTATTCAAAGGGGAAGTCATTCAAGGGCATATGAATGTGAATCGAAGTAGTGGCCCTTTGTGTACCGTGGAATTGGAAGAGAGATTTGCATCACGTTTTTACTCTTTCATAAATGTGAATCTCCGATTGGAAATTGTAGATGGTTTTGAACATAATTTTACTGTATCTTTGAGCTTTATAAGTAAAATGATTGCAACTGCTTGATTGTTCCACTGTCGCCACTGTCGCCATACCCATCTGGATAAAACGTGTGTTTGCAGTGAGTGCTGCCATCTTAGAACCGCAAACAAAGCGGGTTGAGAGACTTGAGACCAATTCGCCAAACGTGTTTGCAGCTTCGACGTTGTGATGGGGCATATGGTAATTTAGTCTAGAGAGACGATCTCTATCAAATATGTCAGAAAGAGGTTCGGAATTCAAATCTTACCGAATGCGTTCTTAATTGGTAGCATAATTACTTAGTTTGCAATAAAAGATCATTAATACACTTTGCAAATGTAAGAAAAGGTCTTAAAGATTGGATTTTCAATCAACATCAAGTTTTTATGAAATCTTCACGTCTCATCGCAACTCTCAAAAATTCTAGCAAGGGAAGGACAAAAATAAAAGAAATAAATTTATAAGAATCTTGGCTTAAATCTGAAAATTCAATGAGGATATTTTGGTAATTTTAACACTTCACCGTCTCAAAGCCCCGAAGGGGGGGTTAAAAAAGCCTTTCTCAGCTAGAAGCCAACAAACTGCAAAAAGCCATGAACAAACAGCTGCCAGTTTGATATATAGAACTGCCCTTTTCTTCTCCATTCCTCTCTCTCTCTCTCTCTCTCTCTCTCTCTCCCCATCTGACTACTCTCTCTCTCTCTAAAATGGCCTCCAAGCTGGCCAAAACTTGCGTTTCTTTAGGGAAGGGGAAAAACAAACAAAAGAGAGAGATGGCAAATTGGAGAGAGAAGTTAGGTATGTCTGCAAATGTCCTCCAATCCAACTCCCACCACACCTCTTTCTCAAACCCAAAACTTTATTCACTTTCCACAATTGCCCTTCTGTAACATTCCATCTTCAATTCTTCATCACTCATTTACTCTGTATTCTTATCTCCCACCTCCATGGGCCTTTTCGGGTTCTCACAACCCAGAGAGTTTCTTCTCGCATACCCGAAAAAGAACAGATAGATATCCATCTGTATACACACAAAAAAACCATCTCTCTCGATAATTGCCTTTATTATTTATTTGTTTTTATTTATTTATTTATTAATTATTATTTGTTATTATTCCTCCCCCTCCTCCACTGTCTGTCTCTCTCTCTCTCTCTCTCCCCCTCTCTCCTCTGTCTCTCTGGAATCGAAGACCTTATCTCCTTTTTCGATTTGGGTTTTCGTTTCATTTGCTTAATCTCTAAGGTTTTGTCTGTGGAGATTGATTTTTGACAAGAATGTGAGAGGGTAATTTTGGGTCTCTGAAAAATCGTATTTTTGTTTCCTGATTGGATGTGGATTTCTATGTTTTTTTCACTATTTAATGGTCAAAGATTCGAGCTTTGTGCAGGAGATGAAAAGGGTTCAACTGGGTTTTGGATTTGATCACTTTTGTCTCTTGAATTTTGTTTATTTTTTGTGATTAATTCGGGATTTTGAAGAGGAAGATGAAAAGGGCTGCTGGCAATTCCAAGCGGTCTCAGCCTACTGATGAGGAAACTAGGATGAAGTTCAGACATGAAAGCCTTCTGCAAGATTACCTCGAACGACAAAAGGTTTGGTTTTTCGTTCCACTTTTGTTCTGGTCTTGTCTTTCTTATTGAACTTCTCTGTCTAATTCTGCTTTTTTTGTTTTTTGTTTTGTTTAAGTCTTGCCAAAATTTTGTTTAGTTATCATGCTTGTTTGATATTCTAGTTAGTTTGTTGTGATTGAGAAGAAGAATGAGAATAATTCTGAATCGACAGAATGAACTACCAAACTCCAATGTTAGATTGACAGTTTTCTGACAAGACGATGTATAATTTAAATTCTAAACTACTCTAGCTTACAGGGACAGAAATTCGAACTTTAGTACAAGAGTCGGGCACACTGCCCTGCCTACTGACCTAACCCGCGTATGCTAGACTAACAGTTGTTATAGGAAAGCTTCAATTTTCTAGGATCTTAAATCTCCAATGAATTCAAAATCAAGTACTTGTCTTTATATTGCTAAAGTTTGGAAGCAATCCGTTGAACACTAGGTGGACAAAACGGAATTTAATCGGGTTAATTTCTGTGTTTTTTTATCGTATGAATGAGTATGAACATTGTTTCTTTTTATGTTTTGATAGGAATTTGTATCAAAGAAGAAGAAATTGCAAGCTGCAAAGCAGAAGAGAGACATTCTTTTGGCAGAAACTCGGTATGATTTTGTTCTTCTGGTTTGTGTATGCCAATGTTTTCTGTCCGCAAGTAGGATATACTAATTTGCTTTTCTCTTCGGAGCTTCAGATTTTTGAGACGAAGGCATAGCTATCTGCTGAAGATAAAATCAGCAGAAACCGAACGAGAAGCCCGACATCAGAATTCTGATGTACAACCTAAGAAATTGGCAAAGAAGAGGAGAAAAGATGCCAATGAAGCTGTTCTAAATAAACCCTCTCATGTCTCGCCGGAAGAAGAAGGAACACATTGTTTCGGAGCCCGGAAGAGTAGAGAGGAAGCCTAAAAATTGTGTAGTTAATGACAGAAAGGTTGGAAAGAAAAAAATTGCAGTGCAAGATCAGGTTGCTCTGAATGTTTAAATTACTTCATTTACAGGTAATGGAGAAAATTCTCTGTTTTAGTGAAAGCCAAAAGGCCCTCAACAATCCCATTGTCATTGCTAAAGATAAATATAATTGGTCTTTTTCGGTTTTATTCTCGTGTGGTGAATGTCCCAACGTTCCTAGGATACTATCCTCCATGCCGGATTAGTATCCTCCTTGCCGGATTACGGATCAGTAAACATGTCATTATATTATATCAGTTACTTTCAATGCAACCTGGGATGACATCGTTTAACATTTTAGCCATTCTTTGGGGGCAGTTCATGCAAAACCCTCCGATTAAATCTTCACGAAACAATCTCAGCAAGACGAAATATCAACATGTCGCAAGCAGCTTCCACATCACCTGTTTTTGCAAAACCATTTATAAGAACATTACAGATGGGGTTATTATACAAAATGGTCCCTGAGATTTTCATGATCAATAGAAGTGGTCACTGAAATTGAAAATCAATAGAAATGGTCCTTGAGATTGTCCATCATCCATGATTTTGGTCATTCTGTTAAAAACTCTTTGGGCAATTTTCAAAGCTTCGTAACTTAATTGATTCTTAACCAAATTCGACCCATAATATATTAAAATGAAGATAAGAAAGTGTAGAACAAGATTATACCTATTTGGAAGCCCAATGATTGCCGGAGATGGCCGGAAAATAGCCTGAAAGGTGACTGGTTTGCAAGAAAACTGGAAAACTCGCTGGAAACTAGGTAAATTTTAAACGTTCACAACTTCTTCAATACTCAACCAAATCGAGTGATTCAAAAATGAAAATCATACTTCTCGACGAGACGAAGAGAATGTTATCTTTCTTTACTGCTAAATCGCCGTGGTTTGGCCCGAAAACTGCTCGAAAATGATTAGCCACTTTCGAGTCGTTGTCCGACCAAACCACGGTGAGCTTATTTCTTCTTCTTGAGGTCCAACTGAAACCTGCCAAGTGGAAGACTTGGCACCCATACAAGCCAACACGAATGAGAATCCTCTCCATATCCTCTTTTTGAGGATTCCAAGGATCCTCAAATCATGTCAATTTATCGTACATTGTACAATTAGAAATATTTTATTTAAAAATAAACATAAATAATATCTGACAAAAACTGATCGCACAATATACAATAAACGAACACAACTTAAAAAATTTCGAAATCCTCACAAAGAAGATCTGGAGAGCAACCACATTCAGCCAACACATCATTTTGCTGTTATCTCCGGGAGCCGTCATGTGGCTTGCCAGCTACAGCTTGTAAATTCAATTAAAAATTCACCCAAGCTCTGAAAAGTCATCTGAAAGATGAACTCGTAGTCACCTCCACTATCTTTTCAAGAATAAATTCTCAATAAATAAGCTTAACAAAATTTTCCAAATATTTCTCTTTTTCAATAATGAATTATTGGGATCTCACACAAACATTCATTGTATGCCTTCAATTAGGGTAAGAATTTAACTTTTCCTACTACTATAAATAAAGGCACAATAAGATGGAATATAAGACACCTCACAAGTACATAGCTCTCTCTTTTCTCTCTATGTGCCGCACCTCCTTCTCTCTGGCCTCCATAATTGTTCAGCAAATTATACCTACAACACTTACTCCAATTTAAAAGTCATGTATTGTACATCTCATAAACATGACATGTGCATCAGTTAGATTGTCCATATTTTTCTAAACCCAATGTTGGGTTTCGTGGGCAATCATGACTGTGGCGTGTTTGCATGGTTGGGTTTTTTTAATTATTTCGTTTGGTTATTATGTCATTATGTGGTAAGGATAAGTTTAGTATAGTAGTTGTGTAGATACATTAATGTACACACAGCCTTATTTATATTATTAATTAAACCTAGACCATTGGACTTGCCTAGAATTTGTTCAGTTCAATATCAAAAGCTCATGCACAAAATATGTACACAGTATGCACAACCCATTATCAAAAGCACACGCACTCGATAAGTACACAATATGCACAAATGAATCGAACAAACCATGAACAAAATAAACTTCAAAATACATGTAATTACACAACCCTAAAGCTTAATTCGTTAATTTCCCCCAAATTAACTGTACAAAACAATCAATCGCCCAAATTGGGAAAACCTCAGTTCAAATAATGAAAATTTAACTAAAAACGCCCCCTCCCTTTTTTTTTTTCTTTTCACTTTTTAGTTTGCCATTGCAATTGTTTGAATCGATGTATAACAAACTCGCCTTGGCTGCAAAACTTATAGAAGGGATTGCGTCACATCCCAGTCCGGGCTCGACTCCGTCGTAACACGATATTGTTTGCTTTGGGCCCCTACCACACCCTCACGATTTTGTTTATGGGAACTCACACGAGAACTTCCCAGTGGGTCACCCATCTTGGGATCACTCTCATGAGAACTTGCTTAACTTCGGAGTTCCAATGAAATCTAAAGCCAGTGAGTGCCC